TTGTGTGTGTGTGTGTGTGTGTGTGTGTGTGTGTGTGTGTGTGTGTGTGTGTTCCTTTATTGCTTACTGCAGCTTCAACCTCAGGCAGTCCTTCCTTCACAGCCTCCTCAGTTCAGACTACAGGCATACGCTACCACGCCTGACTTATTTTTTTACTTTTCGTTTTTTTAGTTTGTTTGTTTTTTGTTTTTGAGCCGAGGTCTCACTCTGTTACCCAGGCATCCTTGACCTCCTGCCTTAGGTGGTCCTTCTGCCTCAGCCTCCCGAGTAGCTGGGACTACAGGCGTGAGACATTGTGTCCAGCCACTTAATTTTCCTAGTCAGTAACTAATGCAAGCACTTTTACATCTGGGATGCTGGGCTTTGCAAATCTAAAATTCTCCAACGGTATCTTCCAGTCTTTAAGCATTTGCCAATTTCTGCCCTGTTGAAAGAGATCATAAGGAAACAAAGTTCTTTGCCTCTTAAATTTAGCATTAATGCTGGGCGCAGTGGCTCAGCCTGTAATCCCACGCTTTGGGAGGCTGAGGTGAGTGGATTGCCTGAGCCGTGGGTTCAAGACCCACCTGGGCAACTTGGTGAGACATCTCTACAATAAGTCAAAAAAATTTAGCCGAGCGTGGTAGCGCATGCCTGTAGTTCCAGTGACTTGGAAGGCTGAGGCAGAAGGATCGCCGGAGCCCAACAGGTCGAGGCTGTGGTGGCTGGGAATGGCCAGTGCACTCCAGTTTGGGTGACAGAGTGAGACTCCAACTTAAAAAAAAAAAAAATTTAGCATTAATAAGGAACCCTCAGCCGGGCTTGGTGGCTCAGCCTGTAATCCCGCGCCTTTGGGAGGCTGAGGTGAGTGGATTGCCTGAGACCGCGGGTTCGAGACCCGCCTGGGCAACTTGGCGAGACCTCATCTCTACAATAAATTAAAATGAGCCGGGCATGGTAGTGCACGCCTGTAGTTCCAGCTACTCGGAAGGCTGAGGTGGAAGGATCACTGGAGCCCAGCAGGTTGAGGCTGCAGTGGCCGGGAGCGGCCACTGCACTCCAGTCTGGGCGACAGAGTGAGACTCCAACTCAAAAAAAAAATAAGGAACCCTCAAAGTTAAGCTGCTTAATTATTTTTATTTTTTAAATTTATTATAAAGCATTGCAAACACGCACAGAATTAGACAGAATAGCATAATTAATGCCCATGTGTCTCTCCCCAGCCTCAGCACTATCACTCATAGCCCCAACTCTCAGCCATGTCTGCTTCCTGCTAGTTCTTATTTTGAAGTCAATCCCAATCATTGTCTCACTTTCTCTGTAACATCTGGTTGTGTATCTCTAAGATGCATATGTATTTATAAAACCTTTTTTTTAAAAGGTAATCTTAACTCCAAAAATTAATAATTTCTTAATATCAAATACACTGAATCTTTTTAAAATAGAAATTTAAATAGTATTCTTTATCATCTTTACTCATCCAGCCTTAAGATGTACTTACATTATATTGTATTGTATATTCTAATTTTTGTTTTTTTTTTTTGTAGAGATAGGTCCCGCTATGTTGCCCAGGCTAGTCTCAAACTCCTGGCTTCAAGCAATCCTCCACCTTGACTTCCCAAAGTGCTAGGATTACAGGCATGAGCCACCACGCCAGCCTGTCTGTGTAATGTAAACAGATCTCCTCAACCCTCAGGATAGCTAGGGCAGGGCTCTGGCCTGGTGGACCATACAAATACATGTTCTGAATGTCCTGTATCTTGCAAAAAAAAGAAGTTTTGCACTGAGTAACTTCTTTGAGTTTAAGACAAAGGAAGTATTTCTACCCTTAACACTCAGGTAAAGTTGGCATCTAAAATATTTAGTTAGAATTTAAAACAGTTGTAAATAATAATCTCTGTTGGTTGTAAATATTGACATCTTAAAGCACCTTAATTCCAAAATAAATCTATAACGTTTAAACACTAAATGCCATTAGCAACTTCTTACCTACCATCATTCATATGAATAATTTGAACAAATCAACTTTAAAAAGATAATAAGAAAATTTATATTTGAGTGGGTATTATACCAAGGAATTGTGTTTATAAAATACGATAATAGCATTATAGCTTTATAAGAAAATGCCCATAATTTTTAGAGATATCTTTAAAAAATATATAGGGATAAGGTGATGTTGGGATTTGCCCTAAAATAATTGAAGGAAAAAGGGAAAGATGAAACATGTGGCAAATACTTGATGATTATTGAGTTTGACAATGGATAAATGGGAGTTCTTTGGAGTATTTTCTACTTTTGTGTATATTTGAAAGTTTCCATAATAACAAAAGTGATAATATAAATAATATAAATAGTATGTTTATTATGATGCTCAGTAAATGTTAGCTGTTACTTTTGCATTTCATAATAATTAAAAAGAAAATGATTCTTTGTTGCTACTACTGTTTTTTTTTTAAGTTGAAGTCTCACTCTGTCACCCAGGCTGGCATGCAGTGGCATGTTCACGGCCACCGCAACCTCAACCTGCTGGGCTCAGGCCATCTTTCCACCTCAGCCTTCCAAGTAACTGGAACTACAGGCATGTGCCACCATGCTCAGCTAATTTTTCAATTTATTGTAGAGATGAAGTCTTACCGAGTTGCCTAGGCTGGTCTCAAACCCGTGGCTTAAAGCAGTCTTTTCACCTCGGCCTCTCAAAGTACTGGGATTATAGGTGTGAGCCACTGCACCCTGCCTGCTACTACATTTTTAAAAATTATAGTGTTCAATATATCACGATGTGACCATTGCTTGGTTGCATTTTTTTTTTGTTTAATTTTACGGGGATTTGGGAGTGTTTATGCTACTTGTCAGTCACAAAATAGACAATAAATAATTTTTTTTTTTTTTAAAAGACGCCAGGCAAATTGAAAACCTTTTGACATGCAAAAGAATTGGTTACTCAGTTTTTCAGACTTCTGCATTCTTAAAGTCAGCATTATATTTCTAGACATAATAACCAGATATGAGCCGGTCTCGGTGGCTCAGCCTGTAATCCCACGCTTTGGGAGGCTGAGGTGAGTGGATTGCCTGAGCCCGCGGGTTCGAGACCCGCCTGGGCAACTTGGCAAGACCTCATCTCTACAATAAATCAAAAATTAGCCGGGTGCTGTAGCGCGCGCCTGTAGTTCTGGCTACTTGGAAGGCTGAGGTGGAAGCATCACCGGAGCCCAGCAGGTCGAGGTTGCGATGGCCGGGAGCGGCCACTGTACTCCAGTCTGGGCCATGGAGTGAGACTTCAACTCAAAAAAAAACAAAAACAAAAAACAACAACCAGATATGTTAATTTCTAATTTTCCCTTTTTCATCATCTTGAAGCTTTTTACACTCTAGTGAGTTTCCCATCAATGAGAATATGCCTTTCTTTTATAAAGTGGGAAAGGGAGATGGGAAAGAAGTCTTGATGGCGAAAGGTGCGTTCTTATGCAGATCAATGTTTAGGAACAACTGTATGGAACTGAAGTTCTGGAATGTGATTTTCTCATAACTGACCTTTTCCAGTGTGCTCCTTGACAGAGTTTCTGTGTCCAACTGAAGGCCACTGGTGTCATGTGCTTTATGTAGTAACTGGATGGTAAGACAGTTTGAGCTCATAACATAACACTTCTCAGGTTTCCTAGAGAGTATAAAACTGTGCCTTTCTGAAACCAGTGGTGTATTCTAATTAGCTACCTTGGAGTGAAATGAAATGTGGGAACTGGCTAGTTGTCATCCTTCCTAAGGCTAATCGTCTCCTCTTATTTCTGCATTTATTAAGGTATACGGTCTCTTGCTCTCATGTGACTCAAAATTAGCAACTGGAGATACTCTTGTTGCAAAATTAGTAATTAAGCCTCAGGAAAATAACTTGCTTTCTAAGATCTTTTTGACTTAAAATACCCTTGTAACCGTTTCTGGGTTCCAAACAGTTGAGAGCCCAGATGAGGAAGAAAGATTTGGGCTGATTAGCATGAGGCAGTCTTTGGAAAAGACAAATCCTTCTTTTGTGTGTGTGTGTGTCTGTGCACCCAGGTGACATGTATAGCCATGATGGGAATGCTGATGAGCCAGAATGGGTAAAGACAGAGCGAGAACAGTTTGTTGAGTTTCGAGATAAGAACCGTGATGGGAAGATGGACAAAGAAGAGACCAAAGACTGGATCCTTCCCTCAGACTACGATCATGCAGAGGCAGAAGCCAGACACCTGGTCTATGAATCAGACCAAAACAAGGTAAGTTGACCAGGCCCAGGCACTTTAGATGTCTGCTGCTGGAGGATTGCCTAAAACTTTTCCATCAAGATACATGGAGATTCTGTCAGGGTATGTAGGCTTAATTAGTCTAAGCCTGCTAAGTATCTAAATTTGGCGATTAAAACCTTTCAGGGCTATCTGATCTCATTTTAGAAATCTCTCTGCCCAATGCTCATAGCACTGTGGGAACGTGGGCTTCAGAAAAGAACCTCTGTGTATAGCCTATGCCCAAGCATGCTTCATCCTTGGGATCCCCATGACATTTATTTTCTTTGCCTGCTTTTTTTGACTTTTCCTTTGTTGCTTTACCTGTTGTAGGCTCATTCTGCCTACTCAACACTGGTTATTTTTTCTTAAGTCAAATATCCTTTTTAAAACTAGGTTCAGTAGGTTATAAAGCAACTTATTAAAATTGTTAAATGTTAACCTGTTAAAATTGTCCTTGATCAATTATCTGAGGCACTTTGTTCATTAGGAGTGTTATCACCAAGCCCTGTCACTTTTTTCAGATACTTGAATGCTCTAGAGTAAACTGAAAATCGGTCTAAAGATGGAGATTTTAGTATTTTGGACAATTCTTTTATCTAGGCTCATCTTCGGTTTCAAATGAACCGTCTTGTCTCACAGCCTTTCTAGGGTTGGTCTGTTTTGAGCTCTTACTCAGAGTCACTTTAGTAGGTAGGTCTGTGTCCTTGAGAAGAACAACTTATGTAGTCATCCCTCAGGAATCTAGATAGGGTTTGAGATGCATGTCTGAGCCCTCATTTGGGGTTGTGTCTGGAATCTCATCGGTGGCTAAGGCAGGCTGGAGGTGTGGACTGGGCTTGATAGTGGCAGATTTTGTTGTTCCTGTTAGATGGTGATTTGATCTACCTTGAAGTGTCCAGTTATTATTGACCATCTCTCCATATCTAGGAGATGTGCCATATTTTGATTTCAAAGAAGCATTTTCTCCTCGGGAAACAAACTTGTATCTCTAGCATTGAGTTGTTGAGGTATTTATATCCTTCTGCTTAAACTTTCTTGATAAAAACAATGCATTAATTGCTGTTTTCACCCTCTTTGTATGAGGGGTAAGTGTTGAGTTTGCATTTAATTTAGTAGGTGTTAGAATCTTAAATCCTGATTAACCCCCATTATTCTATAGCAGTGTTTCAAAATTTATGGGAATTATATTCTACTTCAATCCAATGCTCTCTCTAATTTCAGGATGGCAAGCTTACCAAGGAGGAGATTGTTGACAAGTATGATTTATTTGTTGGCAGCCAGGCCACAGATTTCGGGGAGGCCTTGGTACGGCATGATGAGTTCTGAGATGCAGAGGAACCTGCATTTCCTCAAAAGTAATTTATTTTTACAGCTTCTGGTTTCACATGAAATTGTTTGAGCTACTGAGACTGTTATTACAAACTTTTTAAGACATGAAAAGGCGTAAGGAAAACCATCCCGTCCCTTTTCCTCCTCCTCTCCGAGGGACTGGAGGGAAGCCGTGCTTCTGAGGAACACCTCTACTTAGTACACTTGTGTTTGTAGGTTCACACTTTGTATTATGTGTAACATGGTGTGTTTATTTTTGTATTTGTTCTCTAGTTGGGAGTATGATATGAAGGATCAAGATCCTCAGCTCACACTTGCAGGCAAATATTAGCCCTTGACTCTTTCTCAACCCCTTATCGTGATTTTTGTAATTCTCACTTAACTAATTTTTTAAGCCTGTGATCAGTAAATGTTCAGGAGAGAGAAGAGGGAAAAAAAGTATACTCCACAATTTATATTTAGAGAGATCACACCTAACCTTTCCTATTGAAAAGTATTAACATTTCACAAGTAGTAGGGGCCACATATTAAATTGAGTTGCTACAGGTCTAGCAACTGATGCTGCCATTAACTGGGCCAGGACAGATCCCTTTGCTGTAAAAAACCTTGGCCCAAATTGATTTCATTCCTTTTCCCACCCTGTAGGACTTAGCTGTTTGCTAATTTTGTCAAGCACAGCTGTGGTGGGAAGAGTTCGGGCCAGTGTCTTGAAAATCAATCAAGTAGTGAGTGTGATCTCTTTACAGAGCTATAGATAGAAACAGCTGGAAAACTAAAGGAAAAATACAAGTGTTTTTTAGGGCATACATTTTTGGGGGGTGAGCATCTGTTGAAATGCTCACAACATAATTATTTGCCTGGTGAAATCAGTAAGTGCCCCATTCGGCTCTTCTTCCCCAAGTGTGCCAAGGAATGACTCTTGGTTTCACTACAATTAAAATTCACTCCTTTCCAATCATGTCATTGAAAGTGCCTTTAATGAGAGAAATGGTCACTGAATGGGAATTCTCTTAAGAAAGCCTAAGATAAAATAAAGACTATAGGACAACTTATATGAAAGCTTAGAACCTTCCAACATAGTGAGCCTTTTTTTTCTTACCTTTCTCTTTTGGACATTGTTAAATTAGCAGTATTAGTTATGAACTTGGTTGCAGTGTTCTTATCTTGTGGGCTGATTTCCAAAAACCACATGCTGCTGAATGTACCAGGGATCCTCATACTTCATGATGCAAACCACTTACTCCCAGGCCTCTTCCTGAGTCTGCTGGAGAGCTTGAGCTCACTCAGAAATGAGAGGACCTACGGAGAGGGCTCTTTGGTGTGAGGACCATTGCACACCCTTCCTGCCTTTGACCTGTCACACCCCATTCCCTCATCTCCTCCATCCCTGTTACCAAAAAGAAAAAAGTGTATCATGGGTCAACAGTTTGCCAGTCCTTATCAGAGAGAGATGTAGAAAGAGCTGAAGAGCACCTTCTGTTCCCAACTCCACTTTACCTGTATTTTATGCAACACAAATGCTGTCCTTTTTGGTCCCTTTCTTACAGGTGGACCACTTTGGGGAAGAATTATTGTACTCCAAGTTTTTAGCCCTCAGGTTACCAAGATCAATATATATATGTATAACCTTTATTATTTCCTCTTTCTGGATGATACATTCAGGTGGTGCTGGGTGATTATTCTCATCTGAACCTAGGGGTATCCTTTGGTCTTCCACAGTCATGTTGAGGTGGGCTCCCTGGGATGTTAAAAAGCCAGAGATCATGTGTCTTGACCCCAGCCTTTGTATTGAGCTCTTGATAATGGATATACTCTTTTTTTTTTTTTTTTAAGTTTAACCCCAATATAGGGCAATGGAAATTCTCTGCCCTCTGGATTCCCTATTTTTACTACTAAGAAGACCAGAGTTAATTACTAATGTCACCAACCCTGGCTGACTTAGAGTGTGAATTGTGTGGCAAGAGTGCCTCGCACCTCACTAGGTGTGGAGAGCTCAGGCCTTGTGTTCAAGTTACACGCTTAGAAAGCATACCTTAATCTGCTGAGACAACTTTTGGATGCTGGGGACCCAGCATCTAATCTCTAATCTCTAATGAGCCCCTTGGATTATTTTTTTGGTTTAAATAAAGCCTGAGGCTGGTGCACAGTAGCTACACACCCATATCGTGTGTTCTGTGAATGCTAGCTCTCTTCAATTTGGATATTGGTTATTTTTTATAGAGTGTAAACCAAGTTTTATATTCTAAAATGCAAACAGGTACCTATCTGTTTCTAAATAAAACTGTTTACATTCATTGTGGAGTATGTGTGACCTTCATTCTCTAAGAATTAGAACTTAGACTTAAGGGTGCTATAAAATGTCACAGAAAAGGAACTCTCCTATAAGTTCCCTCTCCCTAGACCCAGAAGGAGCACTGCCTTCTCCCAAGTGGTTGCTCATTTTGCCTGTTCTCAGGTATCTTCGAGCCTCCTTCTCACTACAGCTATACCCTTCTTTGTTTCCTTTAGGCTGTATGACTGGAGAGAAGATCAGCTCTCGTTATATAATTATATCAAACACAAGCCATTCTGATAGTATATAAAACATCTTGACTTTTATTTCAGAAAGGCTCTTTCTGGGGGGTACAGGGAGCGTACAGAGTATAAGAGAGAATTTCTTGAGTATTTTGGTATAGTTTTTACATGGTATGAGGAAATTCATTTTTAGAGCATCAAGTGAATTAATTTGCTCTAAAAATGAATTTCCTCATACCATGTAAAAACTATTAACTTTAGTAAATATACAGTTTAAAACAAATATAGCCAAATGGAGGTAGAGGGGGGGAAGCACCTGGAATAATCCATGCTGTCTCAAGTCTTGTGGACATGGCTGTTCCTGCCAGAGCTGTAGCAGTTGTCAAGACATTCTTTCAAACTCGTATTTGGGGCCTACTAAAGGGTTTTTATTTTTTGTGTGTGTGTCTTTCCCATTTCTAGGGTGTTTTCTTAAGTTTGCTCTAATTTAGCATACATCAACTCAGAATAGATCCCCAGTAGGAGAAATACATACATATATAATATTAAAAAGAAAAGTATTTGTTATTTGTACACTGAAAAGTCAACCCTAATCCTTTATAGTTGCCTCAAATGTAGAACTCGGTTCTCCAAGTGCTATGCATGAAGACACTTAGGAGTAAAAACTCATGATTGTTGAAATGTTCTTTGGGTGGTCTGAAATAAACCATGTGGGAATAGTAGCTCTGTAGGCAGGAAGGGAGTAGAAAGAAAAGGAGGGTTGACTCCCCAAACTGCCATCACTCCCCTTGCCAACATTTTGCTGTGTTGTTAGTAGTTTGGTTTCTGATGCAGACAGTAGACATTCAAGTGTAAAATTCTAGTTGTTGCAAACAGGTCAGTATGGGGTCTTCAGTTGGGGCTGACTTGGCTAGAAGAAAGAGCAGAAACCTCTGTTTTCTGGGAGCTGGATGTGTCAGATTCATCTGCCATGGCCTTCCTACACACCATCTCCATGATGCAAGCTTGGAACTGGAAGAAAAGGCAGAATTGGAGAGGACCTTGACAGACAAGGCACTGTGGGGAAGAAGACCCTGTTCTCTATCCCCAAACCTTGCCCAATGCCTTATACCCAGATGTCCTCAGGTTGATTTTGAATATATCTTCCCCATCCTGAAAAATAGCTAGATTCCAGTCTAGAGCTCCTGAGTCTACAGCAATAATCCCTAAGCCTTCCAGTTAAATCTGAGACCTTGCTATTGGTCAGCTTCACAAACCAGCCTGCTTTGGAAAAGTGCTGTCAGCAGTGGGCCCGCCTGCCCCACTATCACTAGAAAGTGCCCCCAGCTGGAAAGAACTGCCAGTCCTGTTCCATCCAGATTTCAATTTAGTTTTGAATCTATCTCTGAGATTGAGGAAACAAAGTAACTACTCTGAAAGTAGGGCTTTTGCCCTACAAGTCAGACACTCTCCTAGATTCATCTGAGTTTGGGATAGATTAGCTCCGATTTGGGATTAGGGATAGGAGGCCCCGACACCTTCAGATAAGATGTTTTAGAGATTTATGCGTGTGTTGTGATGTGTGCCTCTCACACACGTTCCTGCAGACTGGAAGTTGGAAGGGATTAAGAATTCATGAAGAGCCAGGCGCAGTGACTCACGCCTGTAATCCCAGCAATTTGGGAGACTTAGGCAAGAGGATTGCCTGAGCTCAGGGGTTCGAGACCAACCTCAGTAATATGGCAAGACCTCGTCTCTACAATAAATCAAAAAATCAGCCAGGCGTGGTGGTACATGCCTATGATTCCAGCCACTCGGTAGGGTGAGGCCGAAGTATCACCTGAGCCCAGTAGGTCGAGGCAGCAGTGGCCATGAGCATGCCACTGCACTCCAGCCTAGACAACAGGGTGAGACTCCAACTCAAAAAAATAAAAAAAATTTTTAAAACTCATGAAAGGCAAGGAGGTCTGGAAATTAAGAACTATTGATCTCTGAGTTTTTTGACAGAACAGAAAACCTTTTCACTTATCCTGTTCTTTGGAGCAACTTAATTTTTTTAACTCAGTTTATCCTTCCTGGGTTGTATTGTCTTGATGACCGCACCTCCTCCCTGGGCTTACAGAGGGTTTCTTTTGTCCACCCCTAGAAACCCTCAAGTTAAAAGTCATTGGTGAGGAAAGAACCAGGGTCTTCTGGACCAAGGTCTCACAGAAATGTGGACAGAGTTTTACCTGCTTGTTCATGAAGCAGTAGATGATAGGATTGTAGATACACGCACTCTTGGAGAAGAAGGAAGGAATGGTGACAAGTCGTAGGTCCAGCCCATGGTTCCGGTTGTTGACCATGTACATGGCCAGGGCTGCGTAGGGCACATAGCAGAGACAGAAGGATCCCACCATCACCACCACCATGCGGCTCACCTCCCGCTCAGCCTTCTGGGTTGTTGCTGACTCCTGCTGCTGGGCAGCCACCTGGGGGGGCACAGAGTAGTTGGTCCCCCTTCCTGACCCTCAAGGCCCAGCTCTCTGGACACCTCTCCATGGGACAGATGATGTACTCACTCTGCCTCTTTTTGTCCCAGCATCTGGCCTAGTCCCTCTGACTCTATCCTCCCTGCTCCCACTTCCCGGTTTCTAGTTCCCCCCTCTTTGGCTGTGGACTTTTCCATGTCTTATGTTCTAGAGTGCTCCCCACCCTTCCCTTCCAGCTGGAGCCCCCTACCATACCTCCCTGACTCTCGAAACCACTCACAGCTCTCAGGGCCCTCAGCAGCTGTGCGTAGGAGAAGCAGATGAGGGAGAGAGGCATGATGAAGCAGAAGATGAAGAGGAACCAGGTGTAATACTCGCTGCGGTACTTGGTGCCCACGGTGTACCAGTCGGGACCGCAGGAGCACTGCAGGCCCTCAGGGATGAACCTGCAGAGGACCAAGAACTCACCCACACTTGCTCGCTGCAGGCCCCACGGGAATGCGTGGAGCAGAAACTGAGATTCCTGGCCTGTGCTCCCCACTTAGAGCCCAGAGAATGCCAAAATGGCTTCAGCGGGGTGGGGGGGTCCTGTCCTGAGCAGTAGTGGTCACGGCCATTCCAACTGCAGGGCCAAGGTCTGCTCTGGTATACCGCAGTCCGCCTCCCTCACCTCCACCAGCTCTATGAGAAGTAGCGGACACCCAACCCCTCCCTCTACCTATGTCAACCTGAGCGCCCTGCTCTCACCGGCTCCAGCCAAAGAAGGGTGGGACAGAGACACCAATGCCAATGGTCCAGGTAGCCAGGACCACCATCAGTGAGTGCTTGGGGCTGAAGCGGAAATTGCCAAAGGGCTTACAGATGACCATGTAGCGCTCAAAGGCCAGGAAGGCCAGTGACCAGCCTGTCACCAGACCTGTGACAAGATGGGAGGAAAATGAGGGAGACAGCCCCACCCAGCCTGACTGGGGGACAGATGAGGGGGAGCGAGCAGAGAGATGGGGTCGGGCTGAAGATGGAGTGAAAACCCCAGCATCCTGTTTTAGCCAAACTAGGATGCTTTGTACCCCAGTATCCCCAAGAGCACCAGCCTCCTCTTTGGGGATCTCCTCCAACCCAAAAGCCTGTTCCCTGGCTCCAATCCTGGAGGAGTGTCCTTTGCCTTCCCCAACTCCCTTCCCTGCAGTACCTGCTACAGAGCCCAGGAAGCCCTCCAAAGCACAAACATGGCGGCCAAAGACGAAGTACCCTCGACAGCTGGCGATGAAGACAGGTAGGACGGAGAAGATACAGAGGAGGAAGCCTCCCAAGGACACGTTGACGAGAATGTAGTTGAGGGGCTGCCGCAACTTCCTGTAGTGCAGCGTGGCCACCAGCACCATGGCGTTGAGTGGTATCCCCACAGAGAAGACCACGCCCATGAAGGCTGCCTGGATGTGGAAGACCCAGACAGGAGCAAGGTGGTACTGAGGCCCATCCCACGGCCCTACCGAGGAGATGTTCTTGAACAGGTAAAACTCCTCTTCCTCTGACATATTGCTCGTGGGATGCCCCACACCCCCTCTGATTCCTCTTATAGATGATCCTTCCACCACTCCCTCCTCCCCATCCAGATCCCCTCCTCTAAAGACACTTGGGCTCCCTGAGTAAACAGTGCCAATCCTAATCCTCCCAAGGATGAATTTGGGATTAGGACTCCCTAAACTCCTACCTAAACCTTTTGTGGTCCCAAAGCCGATTGTTTCTTCAGAGGATAAAAGATTGGGCTCAAAGGTATGCCGTGCTGGTGCTGGGATGAGCAGAAGTGGGCTTCCGGGGCTTGGGGGTGCTGACCCACATGCAGCGAAGATACCCCCACCTTTCTGCTGTTGATCTTTGGAGCTCTGGGGGCACTCCTCTCCTTTTGACTTCTGGCACAACTGTGTCCCTAAAAGTCTCTGTGCCTCATCTGCCCCTTCGTGGAAGTTGCCTGACTTAAGTCTCCCTCTCCAGAGAGGCTGGGCACGAGGCTCAGGCTGCAGGAAAGGGCATGGAGTGGGGTGGAACAGGACAGAGAGAGACCAGCGATGCCCAGAGGTCAAGGGTATCCTCAAGCCAGCCTGCCTCGTGCCTTTTCTACTCAGGCCCTGGCCAGGTTGACGTTGGTCTGCTTGCTGCCTTCACACCATGATCATGCCTACCCCTGTCCTTAGCTCAACAAGTCGCCAGTCTTCCTCCTGTCTGTCCATCCACATCCTGCATATCCCTCACAGCCTGCCTCACCAAGACCCCTTAGTGATGCCCACCCCAGTGACATCACCTTTGCTCCAAGTGCCACCCGCACTTGCACTCAGCACTACACTTAGGCTTTATGAATGTTTCTTCTTCTCCACCTCAGCAGGTCATAAATAAACTCGTATAGATGAACCAAAAGTGACACTAAGTAGAGTTCAAAGTGAAAGGATGGTCCAGTAACAGCAGAATAGTTTGTTAGATGAACACTTCTTAGGAAACAAATTATAAACTGGACAAAATATGAAAGACAACTATTTAAAAGCACCCAAAGGGCAGGACATGGTGACTCAGCCTGTAAACCCAGTACTTTGGAAGGCCAAGGCGAGAGGATTGCCTGAGCCCGCGGGTTCGAGACCAGCCTGAGCAACTTGGTGAGACCTTATCTCCAAATAAATCACAAAAACTAGCCAGGTGTCATGACGTGCATCTGTAGTTCCAGTAGTACTTGGAAGGCTGAGGTGGAAGGATCACCTAAGCCCAGCAGGTTGATGCTGCAGTGACTGTGAGCGTGCCACTGCCTTCCAGCCTGAGCGACAAAGAGTGAGACTCCAACTCAAATAATAATAATAATAAATAAATAAATAATAAAAAAATAAAAGCACCCAAAGTATCCAAAAGCAGGCAGAAATGGAAAGGGACTCAACTCTTGAATAAGAGAAACCATCTACATTTATTTATTTTATATATCTTTTGCTTTATTTCTTTTTTTGAGTCAGAGTCTTCACTCTGTCACCCAGGCTGGAGTGCAGTGGTGCAGTGGCACACTCATGGCCACTACAACCTCGATCTGCTGGGCTTGGGCGATCCTTCCGCCTCAACCTTCCAAGTAGTTGGAACTTCAGGAGCATGCCACCACACCCAGCTAATTTTTTGATTTATTATAGAGACGAGGTCTTGCCAAGTTGCCCAGACTGGTCTCAAACCCCTGGGCTCAGGCAATCCTCTCACCTTTGCCTCCCAAAGTGTTGGGATTACAGGCATGAGCCACCATGCCTGACTACCATCTACATTTAAACTGATTTTTTCCAAGAGCACTCCCAAGTGTACATGGCATGAGACAACAAAGACTTGAGCAGGAAGCACAGTTTTTATTGGCTTGAAGAGTCAGAGGACAGAGTTTTGGACTTTCGAGCAGCTGAAAATTGAAGGTAGGTTTCCTAAATGAGAGAATCCACAGAGCGTGAAGCCTTTAAATCTGCATGTAAACTGCCCTCAAGTTGTAGACTGCTGAACTGTGAATGGAGGGATTGCCACGGAGCCCAGCAAAAGGCAACAACTGAAGGTCCAAAAAGCTGAACAGAGATTTCCACTGGCAGCCATGGCAGCAAAGAAAGCATTTGAGTTTGAATCCCAAATTAGAGGGACTGGCCAAATGCTAAACACATTAAGGCTTTCCACTTAAAAATCCCAAAAGATCACACTACAGAGCTAAAATCAGTGTCCCAGGACTAAAGATTTGTTCTAAGACTAAGGACAAACCAAAGCTGACTCAGAGTAGCAAAGGATAAAACCGAGCCTCAGCTGGGCACAGTGGTTTATACCTGTAATCCCAGAACTTTGGGAGGTCAAGGTGAGAGGATTGCTTGATCCTAGGAGTTCAAGGCCTGCCTAAGCAACATAGCGAGACCTTGTCTCTACAAAAAAATTTAAAAATTAGCTTGACATAGTGGTGTCTATCCTTAGTGCCTACTACCCAGGAAGCTGAGGCAGAAGGATCGCCTGAGCCCAGGAGGTCCAGGCTGTGGTGAGCCATGATTATACCACTACACTCCAGCATGGGTGACAGAGTGAGACCCAGACTCTAAAAAATAAAAAAGAATTAAATGGAAATTTCAGAACTGAAAAGTATAATATATACAGTGGAAAATTCACTGAATGGTTTAACCACAGATTTGACAGCAAAGGAAAGAATCGGTGAACTGAAAGATCAGTGACAGAAAGATATCTAGAGAATCTCCAAGCACTTAGAAATAAGCAATATAGCTGGGCTCGGTGGCTCAGCCTGTAATCCCACGCCTTTGGGAAGCTGAGGTGAGTGGGTTGCCTGAGCCTGTGGGTTCAAGACTCACATGAGCAGCTTGGCGAGACCTCATCTCTTCAATAAATCAAAAAATCAGCCAGGCGTGGTAGTGCATGCCTGTAATTCCAACTATTCGGAAGGCTGAGGTGGAAGGATCGCCGGAGCCCAGCAGGTCGAGGCTGCGGTGGCTGAAAGCAGCCACTGCACTCCAGTCTGGGCAACAGAGTGAGACTCCAACTCAAAAAAAAAAAAAAGAAAGAAAGAAAAAAGCAATATACATCCAAATACTCCATAGGTCAAAAGAGAAATCATAAGGGAAACTTGAAAGAATTTGTGCTAATAACAATAAAAAGCAATGTATTAGAAACTGAAGGAGGCTCTTTAAGCAGTACTTAGAAATGTATAGCTTTAAGCATTTTATATTAGAAAAGAAGAAATTTGGTGGGGGAGGGGTTTGTTTTGTTTTTGACTTGGAGTCTCACTGTGTTGCCGAGGCTGAAGTGCAGTGGCATGATCACAGCTGCACAGCCTCAACCTGCTGGGTTCACGTGGTCCTTCTGCCTCAGTCTTCCAAGTAGCTGGAACTACAGGCGTGCACCACCACACCCGGCTAAGTTTTTGATTTACAAGAGACAAGGTCTTGCCATGTTGCCCAGGCTGGTCGAAAACTCCTGGGCTCAGGCAATCCTCTTGCCTAGGCCTCCCAAAGTTCTGGGATTACAGGCGTGAGCCACTGCACCTGCCTAGAAAAGAAGAAACATTTAAAATGTAAACTTTCGCCTTAAGAAGCTAAAAAAGAAGAGTGAATTAAACCCAAAGTAAATAGGAGGAGATAGGAAACCATGAAATTGAAATGAATGAAGAACAGAAAACTCAATGAAACCAGAAGCAAAACTGAACACAGAGCTCACTCTCTCCAGCGTCTCCTTGCAGGGTCAGAGTCAACAGCTATGGCTCCTCATCTCAAAGATTCTCAGATATGATAAGACAAGCAAGTTGAGTTAAGAAATACTTTCACACCACAACCATCAGCAACACAGGGGACTCCTTGAGGCCAGAATCGGAGCCATATTCATCCTCTCTAAGCCTTAGGCTCAGTACCCTGGGCATACAGTTGGCCCTTCATCTCTTTGTTGCTTGAAAATGTGAATGAGGCCGGACTCGGTGGCTCAGCCTGTAATCCTGCGCTCTGGGAGGCCAAGGTGAGTGAATTACCTGACCCCGCGGGTTCGGGACCCACCTGGGCAACTTGGCGAGACCTCATCTCTATGATAAATCAAAAAATTAGCTGGACATGGTAGCGCGCGCCTGTAGTTCCAGCTACTCGGAAGGCTGAGGTGGAAGGATCGCTGGAGCCCAGCAGGTCAAGGCTGCAGTGGCCAGGAGCGTGCCACTGCGTCTGGGCAACAGAGTGAACAACTCAAAAAAAAAAAAGAAAATGTGAATGAGTCTCTGACAGTCATTCTGCAGCCTGAGTCCTAATCGTTCAGGACCAAGGTGACAGAACCAGAGTGAATAACAAAGTTGGACTGCCGAGATGGCATCTGAGTGCCATCACTTCCTGGCCATGTGCCTCGGGACCTGACCTCTCTGAGCCAAGTCTCTCATCTGCAAAACAGAGCTGAGAGTAGCCCCCTTTCCATCATAAGCTTGTTGGAAGGCTTCGATGAGAAACCCCCGATGAAGCTGGCGGCCCAGGGTCTGGCACATGTTAAGCATTAACAGCACACTTGCGGTCATCATTGGGGCCCTCCCTCCCTCCTGAGGTACCAGGTCCATCTCTAGACAGCTGGAACAGATAGAACATTCTTTGTGAGGAGATCAAATCTCCCTTCCCAGTACCTCCCCCTACTGACTCCCATCCTCCGCTGGAAGCAGCCTCAGTTGACCGCCTTCCACCTCCTCATCACCACTCTCGAGACCACTTTTTCCCCATAGACGTCTTTGTCTTCAGGCTAAGCCTGAGCAAGGCCTGAGTCCAGAGGCCCTTTGCTGTCTGGACACAGCAGGGCCCAGGCTAGGCGCTCTCCTGCAGAGGAGCCTGGACAGAGCCAGGGGCAAGCCCCCTCCTCTTTGTTGCAGCCACTGTCACCAGGTCTAAGCTTGGGCTGGAGTTTGGGACACCCACGCACACTGTGAACTTCAGTGAACTTGCAGTCAATAAAAGAAATCCTTTTCACACATGGGGTCACGTAAGTGCTCCTGTGGACTGGGGCCACGTGCGGGCCTTCTGCTCATCTCTTGGGT